TTTCGAATTTAATGACCTCTTTGACGAATTAGTTATAGACCAAACACGATGGCTTCACTCAATTCTTGTATCTGACCCTAGCTTGTGGAAAACGAGTTTAGTGGTTGTTGTGGTAATGATTTGAATAAAAATAGGATAGTTGTTAAATTCATTTTGGTATATATTATACTTAAAGCGATGAATTTCATTTCATTTCAGAATTGGGTTTTCAAGAAGACCCTTATTATTTGCTCTTTGGTATTTTCAGGTCCATTTGGTGTCATTGATGAGCACTTCAATTCAGTACTTCCAAATTGTTATGATGCTATAGGTCTCATGCTTATGATTCAAATAATACACAAGCATCAGGTAATGTTTTATTTTGTAAGCCTCTGTTTTTTATCTTTTGGCTGAAAAGAACGTGTCTAAGCAAACACCATAGTGATGCTAATTAGACAGTTCTAGGCGAAGTTTAATATCACAATGGATCACTGCCAATTTTAGCATTTTATCCCAAGTTCCAAGAATCTGAATAAAAAATTGGGAAATAATTTGATTTATGAATTAATGCTTATGTTTGAAATTCAATATATAAAAAGGGATTTGAATTTTACAAATTGTTTTCCATGTTTGGAATGCATTAAGGATAATAGGAGTTTGACTTTATGTTTGTAGTTTACTTAAAATATATTAAATGATTTAATTAATAGATCAAATCCAACCAAATTTGAGTGGATTTCTATTTGTACACAACTATTGAAAAGGATTCCAAATAAAATCAATTTTATATATCATAACTTTACACACAAAGAATTTCATTAATAAATCAAATCAATTTTTAAAGTATTTGATTCCAAACATAATGAAAGAGGATTCATTCAATAATTTGGGGGCTTGGAATAAAAAGCAACTGCCATATGAATGAATACATAATGTCGAAATGATTCTTGCAACATCATGAACTTATTTATGATTCTTCACTCTTAAACCTTTTCAGCACATAAAACTTACGTAGACATAAAGCTTTGTTGAAAACATATAGCGCTCAACAGAATAAATTGTAGTATTCTGCATGCATGATTTAGCACATGTACTTGGTACATTTGGAAATATTTAACTTTTACAATTAATTTGTATCGAACTTTTTCAATTTCAGCTCATCATGTCTCGGAGACGGATTCCATGCCTGGATTCATATTTAGACAAGGTCAGTTTTCTATTTATAGACTTCTCTAACAAGATAGCCTTTTCTTGAGAGTGTTTAGACTGGGAAACCACCTAGTTAGATGATTGGACTTCGATGTTTGGGAGTAGCTTTGGTACATGCATTGAAGTGTGAGTCTAGCTGCTTATACTATTAGAGCATTAGAGTTACTGGGATGTTACTCTTGTCAGATTAACAATAGACGTTAAAGAGAGTAAATATGATTGACATTTACCCTCGGCCTAGTGATAGGGAGCTTGGGTAGTTTGTGTGGAATCATAATTTTTATCTCCGTTGCTTCCGTTGTGCACTCAAAAGAAAACTATTTTCTTTAAATATGATTGACATTGGTTGATGACAGGAAAACCCAACTATGACCAGATTTTCCCCTTGTTTTCATTTGGGATAATATTCATCTACATTTTTTTGGATAATACATATAGATTGTTTACTAGCCTCGGCAAACTTAAAAGTGTGATTGAATTTCCTGAATGCAGAAAATATAGTTTGACTTGTTCCAACTTTATTTTCTGCTACATAATATAAAACACGTTTTTGTACAATATATTGACAATTTATGTATTTTTTTGTTTGGCAAATATGCGAAGCAGAGATGGGAGGATAATTATTTTTATGAAGCACCCCGCCCCAATTCAACTTCCTTCTCACCCTTTTCTTTATTACCTCTACTATTTATGTACACATTCTTGGTTTCTGATATCCCTCTCTCACATGCAACTGGCTCATAGTTGTGAATTACCTTTAGATTTAGATGGACAACAGTATTAATGGCTTTAAGAAATACTGCGAATAAGATGTTGAGCCTGTTATAGAATTTACTATTGACCCATGATGAAGCTAGTTTTATTTCGTGCAGGTCACTATATCCTTGTGGCCTAGATTTAAGTTGGTATTTGACATGCACCTCAACAGCTTGCGTAATGCAAATGTGAGGACATTATGGGAAGATGATGTTCATCCTCACTATGTCATGAGGCGTTATGCTGAGTTTACTGCTTCTCTTATCCATTTAAACGCTGAATGTGGAGATGGTCAGGTTAGTATGGTAAAATGGGTAGACATCAAGTTTTCCTTTGTACAATTCTAACATAAAATATCCTCTGATCAATTGCAGCTTGATTTGAATTTGGAACGACTTAGAATGGCTGTTGATGACTTACTTATCAAGCTTGCAAAGAACTTCCCAAAACCAAAATTACAAACAGTGTTTCTTATAAACAATTATGATATGACAATTACTGTCTTGAAGGTAGGATTCTGTAAAAGAACTTAGTTTTAAAGTACATCTATATTTCCATTAATAGAAAGCTCAAGGGTGAGACAAGAGATGTGGTTTTCATAATCAGATGTGTTGTTCTCTGACTTTTGGCAACTGAAGCTTTCCCACTTTCTTGATTCCAGGAAGCAGGACCTGAAGGTGGAAAGATTCAAATGCATTTTGAAGAACTGTTGAAGAGCAATACAACAATATTTGTGGTAATTGCAATCAATTTCTTGTATATACAGTTGCAATATGATGATAAGTTTGAGTTTTGATAGTTTGGGAAGAAATGAGTGCGTCAATATTCTGTTGTTATATCTTCACATTCTTGTTTCTTTTGGCACATCATGTTCGCATCTTAGGCCCACCTAGAAGTTTGTAGTATATAATGTCCTAAACTGGCGATAATGACTTTCAAATAACACAAGCATGATGAGTCGCCTCACTATTGAATCCACGAGAACTCAATTTGATGTGAAAAATGGTGTTTATGCAGATAAAACCTCAGCAATCATAACTATGACCTCCAACTTGGAGAAACGACATGCAGTAGTTATAAATTTAACAAGTCTTTCAGATTAAAGAAAGGGGAAACGGGGCCAATAGATTGTACTAGGCAAATATAATCTAATTTTTCTGCTTGTTCTCATGTGTGGTTTATCCTTACTGTTCTCCACATTCCTTGTAGGAAGAACTGCTTCAAGAACATTTTAATGATTTAATCAAGTTTGTAAAGTCTAAAGCTTGTAAGTATCAGACATATATTGCTAATTTTCTCTATTTTTAAAAATATGGTCTTGAATGTGTGTAATTTGTCAGCCGAGGACCCAACATCAACTCCGGATAAGCCCATAACTGTGGCCGAAGTGGAGCCCCTGGTGAAGGATTTTGCGAGTAGATGGAAGGCTGCAATAGAGCTGATGCATAAAGACGTTATTACTTCTTTCAGCAACTTCTTGTGTGGTATGGAGATCTTAAGGGCTGCGTTGACTCAATTGTTGCTCTATTACACAAGACTCTCGGATTGCATTAAGAGGATCGTCGGTGGATCTGCATTGAACAAGGATCTTGTTTCCATTTCTTCAATCATGTATGAAATTAGGAAATACTCGCGGACTTTCTAATTTGTTCAGGATGTCATTATTATATACTGGATCTAAATCACAATATTCCATTTAATATTATGAAAAAAAAAGAACACTTATAATATAGGTTCAAAGCACACCACTGTTGTATAATGGTAAACGCATCAGTTGTTGATGTTTGGTTTTTTATACTGAGTACTGAGTAAATTCTTGTAGATTTTTTTATCACACCGTGATTTAAACAATCTGAATAGAAAGCCAGTTACACTAAACTAATTTAGTGGTTGAATAGATTAATTTCATCAAGTTATTACGTTTGTAAATGCACAAAAAGAAGCAACATTTAGTTTCAGTTAATTTTATCTTCTCTATCTATCTGTACGAAGTTAAATGAGAAATGTTGCAGCACAATGGTGCAACATGTATTTTGTCTCGCCGGGTAGCTGTACTACATTCAAGCATTATAGTGGATATTTGTTCACAGTAGTGGTGCTTGATTACCTCACGCACGTTACGAGCGTGATGAAGATGTGGTTGATTATTTTTGTGGAGCATGTTACATTGTGATATGTTTGTGAGTTGAAGGAATGAACTACTGAGCTACAGTAGGGTAGGGACGATTCAAGGAACTACAGTTATGAGATGAGGGGTGTGTACGAGAACAAGCTACGAGGGCTACCACTTTGCATCTTATAATTTTGAAATCTGAATTGAAAATGTGAGATCTAAACTCGTCTGAAAGTGACTGTCCAACATCTCAATTCGACGCAAATATGAATGAATCAAGTATTAAGGAAGTTATATTAAATTATTCAAACACAATTTCTGAAATTATTTTTTATAGGAAAATAGAGATATACAATCACGATTTAAAATTCAATAAATTATTATATATAATAAATAAATAAATTTGTTTGTTAACTGTTATTTTAAGAATTATCTTAATGATAGGATTGATGTGTAAATTTGTTTCGTTGACGCATGATCATCTCAACTTAACAGAAACCGTAGTAAATGCGCTCTCGAGATAAAATTCTACGCTTCAAAAAAACAACACTCGGCATCCCTTAAGAATGAAAGAAACTCTTCCTAAGGATGAAAGAGATGTTCTGACAATATATTTTCTTGCATAGTTTTGTTAATATATTTTAAACAGTTATTCAAAACAATGCATCATAAATGAGTCTTTTCAAATGAAAAAATTAGACTTGTAAAAAAAATTATAATTAAAGTTTGCAATTACTGTTTGAGGATGGAATTTGAGAGACAAAGGATTTCCTTATAAATAACAAAGGCATTAAATAAAGGATTAGTAAATAAAGAAATAAAGGCATTGAAATTGAAAGTTGTGAGTTGCATTGAATTTGGGTTTTGGAGGTGAGTGGTGGTGGCAGATCAGATCAGGTGGCAAAGCAAAGAAAGAAACATTGGGTGTTAATCTAAACAGACGATGATGCGATACAAAGAGGTTCTGAATTCCATAATTTTCTTTCTGCTTTTCCCCTTTGTTAGTTCATCAATACCAATCTGAATGAATCTCACAATGCAACAATTATTATCAATTAATTGTAGGAAAAAGAAGCGAAGAAGGAATCTTTTAGAAAATATCTGGAAACCAGTGGAGCTGTGGATGCTCTCACCAAAGGTTTTTTTCCCATTCGCATATCCCTCTCTACGTTTCTGATATAATTGCTCATTTAATTAATAAAGCTTCGTTCTTTCTTTGTTCCTAATTTGGCGTTGTTGAAGTTCTGGTTGCTTTGTATGAGCAAAACGACAAGCCTTCTTCTGCCGTCGAGTACGTTCACTTTTTCACTTCCCATTCTCATCTATGACGCCACCACACGTGTGACAGACGCGCTTCTCTTCGCAGGTTCATTCAACAGAAGTTGAGCTGTCCTTCCATCTCCGAGTATGAAAAATTGCAGGCTGAATTCTCCGATCTGCAAATCAAATACAATGAGTTGTTAGCAGCGCACCAGAAAACCTGCAAAGAGGTGTTTTTTCCTTTTGGGTATTTTATTATTTACCATGCGTTTACTTTTTACTCTACTAGACAGTTACTGTGTTTTACCACTCAATTCCCATTTTAATAGGAATGGTTAGTGGTCTATTAAAATGGTTAGTGGTCAGAGTTTGTTATTTTTGGATTATGTCATTCTTGTATCGGGTTTGTTACACGGTTACATTATAGGTGGGACTATAGCATTTCCTCAGCCTTTTCTTGTTATTTCCTGCATGTAAAAATCGATGTACAGTACTCATGATGAAATATAAAAAAATGTTATTATTCGATTCACAAGATGGTATCTGAGCCTCAAAAGGAGCTCTGTCTGTCAATGGTTTTTGCATTTTCTTAGACATCTCCTCTCTTTCTATTTCATTCATATTCTTTTTTGAAATTGTGAATGATTGCAAACCAGAACTCCTATGCTGACTATTTGACGAACCCCTTTAATCCTTTTTATTTCCACGCCAATGAAAGCCCTTCTCAAGCACTAATTTTCCCTCCTTTAAATGGTCAAAATTATCATGCGCGGGCAAGGATGAAAGTTGGAAGTCTCACCCCTCCCTTGATGACGGACCCATTATATGGAGTATGGGAAAGGTGTAACACGTTGGTATTGGCCTGGATACACAGATCAATAGATGACTCCATTCTGCAATCTAATTTATGGATTGATCAAGTCTCAGACGCATGGAATGATCCATGGGACAGGTTCTCACAGGGTGACATCTTTCGCATCTTAGATCTCCAAGAAGAGATCTATTGCATGCACCAAGGGACTTTGTCTGTAAGTCAATATTTCACCCAATTAAAAAGTTTGTGAGATGAACTTGAAAATTTTAAACCCGTTGTCAACTGTAAATGCTCCATTTCTTGTACTTGTGGATCCATTCAATCGTTCAAAATATATAGGGATCAGGATTATGTAATCCCTTTTCTTAAAGGTCTAAATGATCAATTCACTCATGTCAAATCTCAAATCATGCTCATCGATCCTCTGCCCCCCCCCCCATCAATATGGTGTTCTCGCTAGTTATTCAATAGAAAAGGCACACAAACTCTGGCAACTAATCATTCCTATTAAATTGGGATTTGAGTGGTAATACCCCCACAAGCGGGACTGTGGATATCCCAGAGACCCAGCTTGTTGAAACAAACAGAGAATGGCTTTGGATGGAGTGTTTTGGTAAATATGTCAGTCAGCTGAACAGTTAATGAAATATGCTAGTACACAGGCAAATAGAAATAAGCTATCATATAGAGCTAATAAAATTGTTTTATTGGTTATAAAGATGGAACAAAGGGTTATGTTCTATATGATCTTCAATCAAGAAACATTTTTACTTCCTGGAATGTAGTATTTTTTTAACAAACTTTTCCCTTTAGTGCCAATGAACATGAAAAATCACCACTTGATCTGTCAATGCTGCCACAACCCTGCTACAAAACTATGCATCTTCCAACTGACTTACACATTCATGCACCTTGTAGTCCTATCCAACAGCTTACACCAGCCAACATTGTCTCATTGAATCCTGAACCCATTCCACAAATTTCTTCACTTAATATACCTAATAACCAAGAGATTTCAGTACCTGTAAGGCGTTCTACTAGACAAAGGCAGCAGCCACAGTATCTAAGGGATTATCACTGTAGTCTATCTGCCGACAGCTACACCAACATCTCCTACGGTAAATCTTTACCCTCTACTTCAGTTTTATATCCTTTGTCATCTTATATCTCTTATGATAACTGTTCCCCATCTTATAAAACTTTCTGCTACAATGTAACCTCCCTGATTGAACCTCAAAGCTATGTACAAGCCTCTCAGTTAGACTGCTAAAAGAATCCCATGACTGTTGAGATTAAGGCTCTTGAGGAAAATAACACTTGGGTTCTGTTGATCTCCCTCCTGGTAAGGTTCCTATTGGGTGCAAGTGGGTGTATAAGATAAAATATCATGCTGATGAAACCATTGAGAGATACAAAACGCGACTTGTGGCCAAGGGTTACACTCAACTAGAAGGAGTAGATTTCTTTGATACTTTTTCTCTTCGGTAGCCAAACTAACAACAGTAAGGGTAATTCTCGCACTAGCTGCTGCGAAAAATTGGTTCTTAGAACAGCTTGACGTGAATAATGCATTCTTACATGACGATTTACATGAGGAGGTCTATATGATTTTACCATCGGGCATGACAGCAACCTACTCCAACCAAGTTTGTAGGTTGCGCAAGTTCCTATATGGACTGAAGCAAGCTAGTAGGCAGTGGTATGCCAAATTAATCACTGCATTGCTCTCTCTTGGTTACTCTCAACCAGCTGCAGACCACTCCCTTTTCACTAAGTCTGATGGCAATAAGTTCACAACTCTATTGATCTATGTAGATGACATTGTGCTCACTGGCAATGACATGGGTGAGATCACATCTGTTAAAGGACACTTGGATAAGCAATTTAGCATCAAGGACTTAGGTCATTTGCGATATTTTCTAGGCTTTGAGATGAGTCGCTTAAGTCGGGAATATTGGTTAATCAAAGGAAGTACTCATTGGAATTACTAGAAGCAAGTGGTTTGCTTATTGCCAAACCTGTCAGCACTCCAATAGATCTTTCTACAAGGTTAACTAGTGATCACTCTCAACCTTATTCGGAGCCTCAAGCTTATAGGCGAATGGTTGGTAAATTGCTTTATTTAACCAACACTAGGCCTGATATCTGTTATGCCACACAGCGGCTAAGTCAATTTGTTTCCAGACCTTTACAGTCTCATGATCAGGCTGCTATACGAGTATTGAAATATCTCAAAGGATCACCAACTAAAAGTATTTTTTTTTTTGCTGCCAATTCCACTCTTACACCCACTGGCTTTGCTGACTCAGATTGGGGGATTTGTCTTGAGTCCAGAAAATCAATCACCGGATACTGTGTTATGCTTGGTTCCTCCTTGGTTTCTTGGAAAACTAAGAAGCAGACCACTGTGTGCAAATCCTCTTCAGAAGCTTAATATCGCGCCCTTGCAGCATTGTCTTGTGAAATACAATGGTTACAGTACTTGTTGACCGATCTTATGCTACCATTCTCTGCACCAGTTTCAGTCTACTGTGACAACCAATCTGCTATCTACCTGACTCACAATCCGACCTTCCATGAACATACTAAGCATGTAGAAATTGACTGTCATGGGAGTGCATTCAATCAAGACTCCTCCACCTCCTTCATATTTCATCAACTGCTTAGCTGGCTGACATATTTACCAAAGCACTCCATCCAAAGCCATTCTTTGTTTGTCTCAACAAGCTGGGTCTCTGGGATATCCGCAGTCCCGCTTGTGGGGGATATTATCACTCAATTCTCATTTTAATAGTAATGATTAGTTGTCAGAGTTTGTTATTTTTGGGTTAGGCCATTCTTGTATCGGGTTTGTTACACGGTTCCACAATAGGTGGGCCCGTAGCATTGCCTCAGTCTTTTCCTTTATTATTTTCTGCATATAAAAATCGATGTATAGTACTCATGATGTAGTTCACAAGACTGTGAATGTGTAATATTATCACAGTTTAACAAAGTATTATTAATAATTAATTACACGTTGCTCTCAAATTAATTGGTGCATTTATCGTTCAAATACAATCTGTGATATAAGTTGATGAGAGAACTTGAACAAAAATCGTAGGACGTAAGTTGATTTTAAGGAGAGATTAGTTCATCTTACGTCCTTGTTTTTCTATAAGTATTCACTGAGAAGTCTATCCAACAATAGTTATACTTGTAATGTGCCGGGTTGTAGATATGGGGTTCAAGATGGCATGTGAAATGAATAATTTACTGTGTATAAATCATGTAATAAAAGTGGGATTCTTGATTAGCAACAAGAATATGGACTTCAATTGTTGGTTATATGGATTATTGTCTTGCATGGTTAGGGAACTCGGTTATCTTAGGCTCATTAAGGTAATGTCGGACACAAATTTAAGGGGAAAATGTGGATTGCGAAAGAGCTATGGACCTGTATAGAAGGGAAGGAGGTCGGGGACCAGCAGAAGAGAAGAAAGCTCCTCTCGTGGATTTCAAGATTGTTTTACTTACCAATTTTGACCATCCATTTTGACTGAAAGGGCAAGATTAACAGCTCCTCCTCTCGGGCACTCACTTGTTACCATTTATACGACAGACAATCAATATGAAAAGTTACTTATAATCACATGACTTTTGAAGAAGTTATGTGAATTTTTTGTCCACCTCACTCTTAGCATAAAAAAGACCTTCTCTCTTGATACTCTCTTATAATTATTGATCTTCATGTAAGTGGATTATGACTCTAGGAAAACTTTACCATTAGGGGTTCAAATCTTGAAATCACTAATCTAGGGAGAGCTATAGCTATGCCGATCACCCCTATCTTACTGAGGGTTAGCTTCACCATTACATTTGCAGGGAAAAAACATTAAAGATCCCCAAACAAAAATAAAATTCTAACCTTCTATGCAACAATTTGGTAATTTTGGCCCCTGATGTCTTCTACTGAAATATTCCATTGATTCTCTTGAGTTTGTTGCTTTTATTTTCCTGTTGGACTGATGTTAGGGTTTATTCACCATGTACTATATGGCATGACAGTTCGAAGAAATGAAAAGTTCACATGCCTTGGCATCAGTATCTAAGGAATTGACTGACAGTGAATCTCCAAAAGATGGTCTCTAAAGCTTCTGCGTTGAAATATGTAATTCATGGAGGTAACCTGGTTTTTTCCTAAGTGATCTTTTTTCAGTGGCAGTGGCTACTGATTGTGAATAATATTTTTGGGAATTTGGTTTTTAACTGAACTCCATGGTATATCATATGATTCACGTATTTCTATCTATCTCATCAGGTGAGATAAGATCATCATTGTTGTTGTTGGGGAGTGACAATTGATAGATTTTGGTTATGTTTTGTTCGATGTTACATACCTTTTGGGGGATTCTGTTGTAATATGTATATGTAAATCTGTGTTGATTTCTTATCAACTTATTCTGATATCGAACAGAATTTTGCTTGCTTCTTGGATTACAATGTAATTGATTTTGAGTGATATTTTTAACTTTTTGCCTGTCCTAGTTTCTTCACTCGGTTGCCCAGAAACTAGGCAGAAGAAAGTGTGAACTGCCAGTTTATAGCATAATTGGTCCTAACCCTGGACCATGTTGGAATTGAGAAATCCAATTAAAAACATTTGCCACATTTAATATTTTCTTTTCTATTAGGGAGCATAAAAAGTACGATTTATTTTAGGGCAAATTTTAAAAATCAAATTACCCACCTAATGCTACAACTAAACTTGCCTTAACAGAGAGGAGCAGCACTTAGTTAAACATATTTTTATCAATGTTTCTGAGACAGCTTTTGGAAAATAAACGAATAGTGTATTATATTATTTTAAACAATTCATTGAGTTTTTGTGATTGTTACTATTTTCTTTCCATTTTATTGAAGTGAATAACACCATTCCCTTCATTCTCAGCTAATAATTTAATGCTGGAAAAAATCATTTCGTTGTGTTTGAATTGAGGTTTTGTTTAACTTGATTTAATGGTTGCTACAAGCAAAGTTTGAAGTTGAAGATTTGATGGTCCCAATCACTATGATTTTGGGGGATACAAGTGATGATGAAGTTTGTCTTGTGTTTGATCATGTTATTGAGTTGCAATTGGTGTGCTTAGAGTGTTTTAAGTGGTTTCTTAATCTTTGATCCTGCATAGATTGAGAAGAAAAGTCATTTGGAAGTGTTTTCGCCTTACATGAAATGTTTATGTTTAGTGTTGTTTTAATATGTTAAAAGTGTTCTTAAAATTGTTGGGTTTGCAATAAAAAACATTTTAATAGATTGCATTTCAAGGTGAGAAAGGTTTGTCACTTGCATCGATTAAAACAACTTTTTTAATTGATTAAAGTCACTTAAAAAGTACCTATTTTATTGATTTTAATGGATAAAAGTGAGTTATCTCAAGTTATTTTTGTGCAATCAATTTGGAAAAAGTTCTAAATCAATTTAAATAATTAGGTAAAGCTATACATTTTGAAAAAACACTTTGTTGAGTTGTGTACAAAATCATTTATATGAAGATCAAATATTGAGCTAATGACATTGTGGATCACCTTTGGATTTCTGATTTTCGTCTTATGCCAAAATTTGTCTTGGTGATATTCTTAACTAGGGTGAACTGGGTGTTGTTTGTGATCGAGTTTCATAAGTGGTAGTAAATCTTGTAAGATTCATGATCTCTGTGTGTTTGTTTGTCGAAGTGTTGCTTATGATATTTCTTCACAAGTGATGATTAGAGATTTAGGGTTCAGGATCTTGTTGTATGTTTAATTTCTAGTTTTCTCGAGGCTTTCTTGTAAAATTTGAAAATTAGTATATTGGCTTTAATCATGCGATTAGGCCAATTGGACATAGCTGAGAAATAGTATCATTTTTATATTTTTCTTTTCTTCCCATCTCTTACGTATTATCTTTGTTTTGTATCATTCTTGCATTCTCTTGGAAGGCTAAATAATATATCTTGTTTGAAGAAAATTACTAATTCGTTTACAGAGAATATCTGTCAAAGGAATTGAAATCTGGGATGGGTTGTTTGAGAAGCTTTCCAAGTTTACATTGTACATAATCAAGTCAATGTTTTATAAGAAGAGAATGGGTTTGTAATTCGATCGGATGCTTATCTTGCATCTCTCATGCCTATCTTGTTTTGTTGGCTTTTCGTTGCATGAGTGGTGTCATCTAACTGAGTGCATAGATGCATCATCAGCCATTGCAATTCATGAGCATTTATTAAGATTTTTTTATTTATTTTTTATCTGTGCCCACTACCATGTGGTGCATTGTTCATCATGCTACGTGGTGTGGCGTATGGTGTCACTCTGATTTTCTGTTTGATTACTTGGGTTTCGTGATTGCTTTGTGAAATTAGGTTTGTTTACAATTTATAATAAAATCATGTTCCACTTCTCTTGTGTAAGATAAATTTCAAGTCTCATAAACCCTAAACCCTAAAAGTAAAAAAAAAAAGATATCAATCATGTTTTTGATAGAAAAATAATATCATGTAGTTCTAACCCTTTTATTTTTCAAATTTATCCTTATATATAATACTTAATTTTAATTCGGTTTTTTTGTACAAACAAAAGAAAATATTGCTCAAGGGTGACTTGTGAATGCAAAAGGAAGAATGTTAGATGTGGATTTAAGAAATTGTAATTGCCCTCTATATTTAATGTCCTTTATGTTTACAAATAAAATAAGAATCCCTAATTAAACTGACCTTAAGCTAACCAGGCTATTTCTTAAAAAAAACATTATAAAAGAAAAGGAAAATAAAATGAATCCATTTGTTAATTGAAATGAATTTATAAGTTGAAAGATGCATAATAAATCGATTTTAATTGATGAGAAAACTTATCCATTTTTCATAAAGTTTTTGTTGAAAATTTATCCAAATGAAGTATTAGACAGCACATAAAAGTTGGAATCATGATAGAGGATTAAAATTTTACAAGATAATGAAAATATTCAAATGTGTGAAGAGTGATCCAAGATAAAATTATGAACATTGTCCAATTTTGTTGCCGTTTTGACGAACCTCGTTAGGCTCCCAATTGCGAGAATTCTTGCATTAATGTAAAATTTTGCTTCTATTACCTCATCACCCAACACCAATGAGACCCTTCCCACAATGTCACATGGTGCACAATAAACGCAGTATTCTCACTCATTCATGATGTCTCCCTATTCACAAACCCAATGGCACAATCCAACGCAATCCCACACACGTCCAATCTTGGGTTGTGGATGGACGAGCATTGCAACCCTTTAAAATCCGTGCTTAAAGAGTGTAGACCTCCAAAATGTTTGTGCGAGTGAGCATGCTATTATCACTCATTATTAGTGATAATACGTTGGGGCAAATTGAAAATAAGCATGAGATAAGAGGGTAGATTAGGAAGAAAATTGTGAAGAGGAAAGAGAAATGTTTGTCGTGTGCATTAGGCAGTTAGAAATAGGAAAGAATAATGGGAGAATGGAAAGGAAGGGAAGGGAGTGAGAAAAAGAGAGAAGGTAAGGTTGGTTGAGTGACTAGGATTTAGGAAGAAGCCCAACTCTTATCTGTTTCTGTATTTGCTTGTCAGTGTCACTGTCTGTGACTACTCCTACTCACTACTTCCCTGTCACCCATTCAAATATCCACGTCCCACATTTTTCTTTTTTTCTTTTGAACCCTATTTTATATAATAATTCAATTAAATAAAAAGGTTTATGATGAAGGGTCAAAATAAGAGAGGGAGTTCACACTCTGCACTGCCCTTCTTCCAAGATAAAATCTTTTTGTTTTCATTATAATTTTTTCTTAAAATATCTTAAAAAAATTGCAGTGCGAACCGTGGCAGCACACACATCTTTCTGTCCCCAACATGGAACCTAATGACAACCAACTCACCTCCTTCTTCCACCACCACCACCCCCACCCCCACCACCACCATCACCACCAGCCACCGCCACCGCCGCCCGCCCCCGCCACCACTGCCTCCCCCACCAACGGCCTCTTGCCCAACGCCGACGGGTCCCACATACTCTACCCTCACTCCGTCGCCTCCGCGGTGTCCTCACAGCTGGAACCAGCGAAGAGGAAGCGGGGGCGGCCCAGGAAGTACGGCACGCCGGAGCAGGCTCTCGCCGCGAAAAAAGCAGCTTCGACGTTGTCTCAGTCGTTCTCCGCGGACAAGAAGCACCACTCCTCGACGTTCACTTCTTCCTCTTCTTTCTCGTCCAAGAAATCTCATTCCTTCCCTCTAGGTTCGCTTTCCCTTTCTCAATTTCGTTTATTAATTCCGCTTCGGATGTGTACTTTCGTTCGTTTCCTTCTTTCTTTTTTTCTTTCCTTCTCTCTGTGCTGGTGGATTCTGCGTTCATCGTTTCGTTCTAATTTGAAAATCGTTGGGATTGGGGTTGGGATTGCGAGTATAGCGTGTCGTGCGAGTTTGAAAGTGTTTATTAGTGATATGAAAGTGTTTCTGTTTGCTTAAGGATTGGCAAAAAACAAGAGATGTCGAGTGCACGATTGATGGCAGAATTTTAACTTGATGTTTCTTCCGTGTATGGGGTGATGCAGGCAATGCAGGGCAAGGGTTCACTCCGCATGTCATTGCTGTTGCTGCTGGTGAGGTATGCGTTGTTCATACACAATCTTTGAATATTGTTCGTTGATTTTAGATTTCTGCATCCGCTTGCTTCAGGGCAAGTACAGTGAGTGACCTGTAACAAAATCCCCAATGATTTGGTTATTATATTATACAATAAAGTAATAAACCATCAATTTAATCTCTAAAATGTTACTCCCTCTAGTTCTTAAAATGAACAAATTATATCACTAATCTCCCAGGTATTAGAAATCATATTATACAGTTTCTTAAAATGTGAAAATCCTTCATAGTTGTTCCTGGACATCGGTAAATTGATGGATACTCTATACTCTAGAGATTAGTTATGTAATTTTGTTACTTGACTATTTTAAGAGAAAAGGCAATCCTTGAGAGACCAAATTGATAATTTGTTGTATATTACATGCATCTGGACTTATGTACGAAACAGCCTGACAATCTATATTCTGTACACTATTAATATATGCCAACTAAGTTGTGCATGTAAGTCTCTGCTATCCTATGGATTTGATTAGTAGAAATGTAAACTAGTCAAGGCAAACAGTAAAAGTTTAGAGTTGCCTTGTGAAAGATGGATTACTATGCTTGCATCATTTTATTTAAATGAGGTTAACAGGAAGCTTGAGTTAGACTTGTTTAGAAAGAATGAGTGTAGCTTATCTAGATCATTTTTAACTTGATTTGTTTTGCTTTTATCCAAATTTTCCTAAAACATAGATTATTTTTAAACTTTAACAATTCAGTGGTTAATAAAATATTTGAATACTCGATAATATATACAAATAGAAATATTTCCTCAATATGTAGCATGAGCGGGGTCTATGTGATTTTTATTCTACATTGTGTATATAAATTAGCTATTCATGAGTTGTTAATATCAAACTAATAAAGTTTAAGCTTGGCTCATTTAGATAACTAAGTTTAGTATCAAGTTGCGTTTGTTTTTTTTATTAAACAAACCAGCTTGATCAAGCATTTAATGAACCAAGCTTGAATAGTAATTACTATGTTTTGTTCCACCCTATCCCGTGTCTCTTGCTAAAGTTCACCAAGTTGAACCTGCCTAAGGGTTCCTATAATGGATCTAGGTGCAGCACAATGAGTGTGCCTAATAGCCACAGCTGACCTGTGGATGTGATGTGAACTGGTCAGAATAGTTCCTCTTTTCTTTTTCTTTTTTCTGCATTTCCAACATAAAAAATTGTTTCGGTGAAATATGATTTTCTGTAATTTTCTGATGTTGTTCGATATCTTCCTTGTAGTTCACCGCTCTTCACATAACTTGAAAATTTTCCTCCACCCATGATGTTTGAATTTATTATGTTTTGTAATTTGTCCAGTTTTATTTTCAGCATTCTTCTGCATATGTACTACTTTGATTACTGTTTAACTGTGTGCACTCAGTAGGATGTTGGCCAGAAAATTATGCTATTTATGCAACAAAGTAGGCGTGAAATGTGTATTCTGTCTGCATCTGGTTCCATCTCTAATGCCTCTCTTCGCCAGCCAGCAACCTCAGGAGGCAACATTACGTATGAGGTAAAATATTAGTCACTTTTTGTATATTATTATAGCTATTTTTAAACAATCTTTAAAAGGAAAAGGAATTGTTGAAACTTTCAATTTTGATCAATATCTAGTTTGAGAGTATTATGATAGCCAAGACTTGAAATCTTGTTATTTGATTTTATGGTTGGGTAAATTATATTCTCCTCCCTCTAGTGATTATTGTGTTTTGTTAATTTAATGTGAAAAAGCCTCTTAAAGATAGTTTCTCTCTCAGTGACACTCTTCATTATTGGCAATGACAAGTATTTATAAATTTTTACCATTAAATGGTAAAAATTAAGATTTTGGATGAATTTCTAAAGCCAAACGTTCCTAAAAGTCCTATGTTGAAAATTAGTTTCCAGTGTCACCAAAAGTTGCTGAGAGCATAAATGTTCTAGGGAGAGATTAAAATTGTATTTGGACCCAATGTGTACCCAACAAAATACGGAGAGAGAAATTATCTACTAATTGGGTTTGGGACCAGATATAGATACGTGCTAAAGTTTTATGGGAATAGGTGTGGAGATGCCAGTATGGGTGGGAATTTAATATGCACCCCATTCCATGCCCACATATGTCATTTAATATATTAGATCTAAAATTTGAGATATTATATTCAATTACTTATTCAATGATACAAATTGAAGTCTACACATATGATATACTTCTCATCTCAACATTCTATGGGCTATGGCTGTAACTCCGTTGTCTAAAGTATTCATAAGGGTGTCAAAATAAGTTTAGTTTGATAGATCGATTTAAAGACTCGAAAAATAGGCTAGTCTAGGTCAAAAAATTTGTAACCTAAATTGAATCAGACCTATTTTGATCTGGCTTATTTAGATCATGACCTATATGGGCTTAGATTAGGTTAGCCCGTAGGCTTATGGGTCGACCCATTTTATGAAATTAATATTATTAATATATATATATATATATATATATATATATATTATAAATTAATTTGATATGAATTCACTTATTTTAAGAATAAATATCAGAATAAATCTCTAATAATTACTTATTTCAAGATCTAATAATTACTATTTTAAATTAATGAATTTATAAAAATAAATAATGATAGTAAAGAGTAAGTTTTTAATTTTTATTGTGAGATTGAATGAATGTATTCTCTTATAATTTATATACTAAATCATTATATCTTAAACAAAAACTAATTTCATTAATAAAATTTAAATTTTCAAAATATATTTTCATTTTTAATTTTTATTTAAATATTTTTTTAATTGATTATTTTGTATAGATATGTCAATTTTTTTTTTAAATTCAATCATGCCAAAATTGGTCCATTAGCCTGTTGACTTAACATAGGGTTAGGCTAGGTTATAACTTTTGACCCGTTTTAAAATATAGGCCACGCTGGACCATCAAATTTTTTTAATTGACCAGTAGAGTCGGGCTAAGCTGGGTTGGACTGTTTTGACAGCTCTAAGCATTCATGCTTCATAATCATCTGTTATGGGACTAGTTGGTTGTTCTTCCATCCAACTTGGGGTAGAATTTTTAGTTAATGTTCTTTTTTTTCATAATTAATTTCAGTATTAACAATAGTAATTTTGTTTTACTAGTTTGTCAGAAAGAAAAATCATTATAAGAAAATATTCCATTTAATTAGATGGGGTTAACAGGTGATGCTCTGTGTGTATGGGTTCAGAGACGGGTTTTGTTTAAATGTGGGTATAGGGAATGGATATTATAACCTTTTTTCAAATCTTACCCATTTCTATCCCTACTAGGACGCTTATTCATAATTGTTTACCACTATTAAGAGGATCAATTAATGTAATTGCACTGAAGTGCAACATGTTTCTGGCATGGATGGAGAGTGTAAGTTTTAAAATTGGAGGGAAAACAAGAGTAATTTAAACATTACTAGGGGAGGAAATGGATTCACCCTTTAATTTAAGATTTTTCTTGTCATCGAACAAGGTGAATAAGCTTTCAAATTTGAAATCTTCTCTACTAGTGATAAAGAGACTAGGGTTTTGTCTTCCGTTTTGCTCATAAATTTCTAAAGAAGTCATTCTGAATGCTCTTGTTGCTAACTAATTAAATTTTGAATTAGAAATAAAATTCTATTTAATAACAATAACTAATTTTCCCTCTCCATGTTCTTCATTTTAATATACACGTGTGTGGTTATGGCTTGTTTTTATAAACCCAACTTCTATGGACAAATTTTCTGATGGTCTAAATTGGAACCTTAGACAAAATGGTTTCATTTTCTGTAGATATCTTGCACAGTATTATTACAAGAAAAAATTGATCTTCATTCTTCAATTACCTTCAAGAGCATAGACACAACGAGGAACCTTAATTAAAACTGTCTATATTAGACTAAGACAGCTCATTTGAAGTTAGTGCCGGGCAGCATTAAACCAGTGATATCATTTTCCTGTGTTGTCACTTGTCCATGAATTAACTATGAAGTTGAAATCATTGTCTACAACTTAATGAACACATGGCTAATTGCCGAAAATAATAATTTTTATTGTTTGTTTTTTAGTCAAATGAATCTGCTTTATTATATCTGGTAATCATGTGCTCATATTGCAATTATCACAGTTTAACTCTTTCTTGCTTTGACATCAGGGTCGGTTTGAGATTATTTCACTTACTGGTTCTTATGTCCGTAATGAACTTGGGACTCGAACTGGTGGTCTCAGTGTATGTTTATCTAACACTGATGGACAAATCATAGGTGGTGGAGTTGGTGGGCCGCTTAAAGCAGCTGGTCCAGTTCAGGTAATTTCAGAAAGAACTTATGGGTGGGAGATATGAGCTGTGCTCTTCATCTATTATTCTTGGTCTTGATCAATATGCAATTTGCGTCTTGAGAAGTTGTGGGCCAAAACCATTAATGAGGACTTAAGATTTAAATTATGCTGTCATTGAACATGATTTAAGATTAGGTATCGTTAGATATACCCAACCTCATTTAGTGGGACTTTTAGGCTGTTGTTGTTGATATGTTTCTTTGTTTCGACCTAACAGATGCTCCAAGGTAAAACAGGGGTTGGGGAAAAAGTTGTAGGTAGCGAACAGTTCTCTACTTATATCCTGCTTGTCCTGTAGTTTCTTTTTTTATAGCCTTTACCTAGTAGAACACAAATGCAATTTTACATACATGATTTTACATGCATAATTTTTTCATAGGAAAAAAAGGGGGAGATGAGGTGGGCATCTTGGGTTGCTTGGTAAGCGTAAAATTGATAGGGAATAGAGGTGAATAAAATCAGATATACATATAGCCTTAGTATATATCTACATTGTCGAATTTCAATATTATATTTTGAATCTTCCTGTTTTCACTCCTACCAAGCATTGCCTGGAAGTCATTTTTGATGAAAGATTAATAATCTACACAGGTCATCGTTGGAACATTTTTTATTGACAACAAGAAGGATTCTGGTACTGGTCCAAAAGTTGATGCCTCTGCAAGCAAGTTGCCACCACCAGCTGTTGAACCAGTATCAAGTTTAGGTTTCCGCCAATCAGTCGACTCTCCCAGTGGAAATCCAATCCGTGGAAATGACGAGCATCAAGCTATGGGGGGAACTCATTTCATGATTCAACAGCTTGGTTTGCAGGGAACGCCTCCTCGGTCCACAGACTGGGGTCGTCCGGATCCAAGAAATACCGGTTTTGAGCTGACAGGTATGAACTAACCTGTCCCTTCTAATACTTTCAGTACTGTGCAATAAGGTTTCCTATCTGCAGGAAGGACAGGTCATGGGGCGCACCAGTCTCCTGAGAATGGTGGCTATGAGCAAATTCCCGATTGAAAACCCAACATGTCTTTTGGATTTGATAGCAGTAATCAATGTGCGATAGGTGTATGATATCTCTACATACCAGCCGTCTTTGTCACCTGATGCCGTTTATAGTATGCACCATCCATTAAAGATCGCGGCTTCTGAAATTAATACTAATGCTTTCCCTTGACAATATTGTTCTGCCTCATTTAGTGGTGTTGTATCTATAAATCAGGGTTGCTTACTTCATTTTTGCGGGCCTGTTAGCTTTTATACCGGGATAAATATGATAGATGTATGTTCCCTAGATTAGCTAATCTGTTGTGGACTATATTTTCCTCCCATTTTCAAGGTGCACTCTTACGATATATTCTTCAAAATTCTATCAAGCATTGATGATTATCATATTATGGTTCCCCATTTAATAAGCCTGTTTTAAAAACAATGATTCTCCTTCACTCTTCACCTTATGAACCGTTACTCTGATAAGGTACGTACACATATGAAACTGTAATAGAATACAGTTTACACGCTGTGTAGTGTATATGATGGTTGACTGGTTTTTGTCTTAAGCAGCGTTATATACTTTTTTTAACTATATTCTGTATACTCAGAAGCTTTTAGTTGCGTAATTTTTTTTATTAACTTTTTCAATTGTATTTTCCTTGTATGATTATTATATTCGGTTATCAATTTTGATGGAATGAAATATGATGGGACTTCCTAACAAAATTTGGAATAATTGGTCCCTTTTAAAGCTTGTTTACAAAAGTTTGGTTTTCTTTTTCCTTTTATGGAGGAACTTGGTTGTGGGTTAGAAGAAGAAAAAGACGTTTCATTGATTTTTGCGTTATTCTCGAGAAAATTTTCAGTGATTTCTACTTTAGTTGGACAGTACTTTTATTTTTTGAATGTAAGAATGGCAAGAGAGATACTTTTTTAATTGCACTTTCAATGACCTTTCCAATTGTTTCACTAAAATACTATTTTCTAGATCTTTGTAGGACTAATTTATTTTATTTTAAAATACTAAGGGAGAAAAAACAGAACTTAGAAGAGAAACAAATAAAGTAAATACACAGGATTTCGAACACTTTTAAACTATAAATGGATCTTATAATTGACGTAAGTTCTATTTAGAAAAATTAAATAATAATTCTTTTTTTTTAAATGAGGCTTTTTATATGTTAAAAAAAAATATGGAAAAGTCATATAGAAGAAAATTTTATTACCGATGTACGAGAAGTGCCTCGAAGCTCATGTTAACAGAATTTTGAGAGCCGGGAAATTAGGCAAATATAGATCAGATTTAATTTGCAGGTTTTTTAACTAAATTTCTTTAGGCGGATTTTTAAATCAATTCATAGAATGAGATAAAAAAACAATTAAAATATTTTTTCTTGAATTTTCTTTTACACATCCAATTTAAGAATTCTTTTTATTTTATTTTTTAAAACAAGATAAAGAGTTGGTCGTAATAATTTCGGCAGTAATGATGGCATCTGTAAGTGGAAAATTATTTTGAATATTGAATATGGATGCTGCAATGATTTACCTTTTGAGTTATTTACATATTAAATTGTAAATTATTATTATTATTAACATATTTAATTTATATATTAAATATTTAGTAAGAATTACATTGTAATTTTTTTAAATTGATTTTAACTTAGAAAATTAGATTCTCATCTTCCTAATAAAAATTGTGAAAAAAATTGTCCAAAAACCAAAATAAATGGATACAAATGCTATTTAACGTTTACAAAGATAGAGACAAAAATATAAATAAAAGATATTTATGTTTGTCTCTTTCTTTCTCATTATGATGACGGTTACGAGACCAACCTATGTTTTTATCTTAACTAAATTGATGTTCACGGATTCCAACAATTATTACATGAGACCATAATAATCATTATTTTTTAAACCATTCAATTTAAGATTTTCTATTGACATAAACGTTTATTTCCATATTTTAATAATATACAACATGTATCATAAATTTGTGGTAAGGTAATTAGGTACATACACCTATTTCAACCTGTTTATATTAATTATTTCAAAAAAATATAAATAATGATTTGTGATAAAATAATGATAAAAAACGAGTGAATATTAAAATCCTATTTTGTATAATATTTATTCACTTTATCTCTTATATATTAAATAAATTACAAATATTTCAAAATTGTTTTGTTTACCGTTTTTCTGAAGATAGAGATATTAGGGTCTACACGTGAAGAAGGGTCATGTCATCATGAGTAGAAGACAACGTGGCATTTTTGTGTGATGCACTTTACAAAATGATTCAACAGATATTTTTTATCAAGGATTTTTCATATTTTTAAATAAGCAAAAAATTATATTATGATTAAACTTTAAAATTCACGATAGATAATTTTTTTAATATAAATTATATTTTTAATATATAATAAATATTTTAAATTGAAAACAAAATAGTCTGTCTCTATTCATTGATAAATTATTTTAAAATATAAATAGAAAAAAATAGATTAAGAAGGAATCACAGTTTAAAATTTACATTAAAGAAATGTTATTCAATTTTTTTCTTGTATACGAAAATGCGCATTACTATCATTATTTATACTCTTATCTTATTTATTTATATAATTTTAGTAGAATGTAATCAGAATTTAAAATATTCTTTTTGAAACTATAGTAACAATAAAAACTTCATTTAAGTACTGTAATAACAATAAAAGATTAAATTTATAGACTGAATGACAATAAATATCACATCTAAAAAAACAAAATGATAAAATATATTTAATAATATTACTTAAAAATAGATTTTCATAATTTTTTTTTAGTTTTGATATTACTAAGATATAATGATATAATAAAAGCTGTCTTAAAAATAATTTTAATTTTTTAAAAGTTAAAAAATAAAAAATTGATAATTTTTTATTTTTTATTAATATATATTAATATTTTCATTCATAATTATTTTTTATTATTATTATAAAGTTATTAAAAATATTTTTTTAATTTTGATTACGATTTTTTGTATTATTCTCTTTCGTTTAAGATAATTTAAAATAAAATTAAATAATTTTTTATCAACTTATTTTTAAACTATTTTTTAGAATTAATATCTAAAATTATTTTTAAAAACTAAAAAAATAGATAAAATAAATCCTAATTAATATTTGATATGCTACTCTTTAGATATAAAAAAATATTATCCAAAATTTAAATAATGAAATAACTATCATGGTAGGTTGAAGAAGAAGATACAGTTAAGTGATATTACATGTATTTAGATTATATTTAACCATTTAATAATTTATTTGGATTTCACACTGCAAGTAAAAATAATTATTTTTCAATCATGTGTTATCATTTAAAAAATAAATAAAAATCGAAGACATCAAAACAAAACATACACGTTATGAAATATTTTAAATAGTAGCAATTATTAATTTAGTAGCTGACTTTTTTTATTATTATTATTACTTGGAAAGGTGTGTGAGCAGAGCAAGGGAGTCTCGGTTCAGTTCATGTAAAGCTCCGTGGGTCCCACACTCTGTCTCTCTCTCTGCTTTCAAGCAAGTGCTCTCATCAAACCTGAGATTGAAATTTGCTCCTATATTTTATGATTTAGTGTCATTGACCAAAAGCACGACAAGTCCTGATTTTTTCTTCGTCTTCTCGATTTCTGCCTCCAATTTATTAGGGTTACATGTGAATTTAAACTTAGTTTGGATCGATTCTAATGCTTATGGCAATTGTCATGTTGATTTCAACTCTTTGTTATGAACGGGGGATGCTTTAGAAAAGGAAAAAGGTAGCTGTAATTTCTTTTTATTCGCCATGGAAACAGGGTTGCTCCTTTTGTTTTTCTTGCTGTTGGTGATGGTGCTTTCTGTGCGTGCCATCGATGTGGAATATTCACAGTGCAATTGTGATGAGGAAGGGCTTTGGAGCATCCACAACGTCTTGGTTTGCCAGAAAGTGAGTGACTTTTTCATTGCCATTGCATATTTTTCCATTCCCCTCGAGCTCCTTTACTTTGTCAGCCGCTCCAATGTACCCTTTAAATTGGTCTTCCTTCAATTCATTGCCTTCATAGTTCTCTGTGGATTAACCCATTTGCTCAACGCCTATACTTACTATGGCCCCCACTCCTTTCAGTTGTTTCTTTCCCTCACTGTTGCTAAGTTCCTCACTGCTCTTGTCTCCTGTGCCACTGCCATTTCCTTTCCCACTCTCATACCTCTTCTGCTCAAAATCAAAGTCAGGGAGCTCTTCTTGAGGCAGAATGTTTTGGAATTGGGTCAAGAGGTTGGGATCATGAAGAAACAAGAGGAAGCTAGTTGGCATGTTAGGATGCTCACCTGTGAGATTAGGAAGTCTCTCGATAAGCATACCATCTTGTATACCACACTTGTTGAGCTTTCCAAGGCCTTGGACTTGCACAATTGTGCAGTTTGGATGCCTGATTATGATAGGAGAGAAATGCATTTGACACATGAGTTGAAATCAAACACAGCAAGTATTTTTCACAATTCTATTCCTATTAGTGATCCCGATGTGTTGGACATAAAGAAGAGCAAAGGGGTTTGGATTTTGCGGCCTGATTCTGCAATAGGAGCTGCAAGTAGCGGTGGTGGATCTGGGGATTCAGGTGCCGTGGCAGCCATCCGCATGCCGATACTTCATGTTTCCAATTTCAAAGGAGGGACACCAGAGTTGGTTGAGACATCTTATGCTATACTGGTTTTGGTTCTTCCAAATTCAAACTCCAGGGCTTGGACCTCCCACGAAATGGAGATAGTGGAAGTGGTTGCTGACCAGGTGGCTGTGGCCTTGTCTCACGCGTCTGTTCTTGAAGAGTCTCAGCTCATGAGCCAGAAACTGGCAGAGCAAAACCGGGCACTGCAACAGGCTCAGAAGAATGCAATGATGGCCAGGAAGGCAAGGAGCTCGTTTGAGAAAGTTATGAGTCATGGAATGCGGAGACCTATGCATTCAATCCTGGGCTTGCTTTCAATGTTTCAAGAGGATAA